CCCGGGGAGGGTGTGGATGCTCCTTCTCTGGAGATACTCAAGACCTGCCTGGACACGGTCCTGTGCAGCCTGCTGTAGGTGACCCTGCTTTTGCAGGGGGATTGGACGAGATGACCCACAGAGGTCCCTTCCAACCCCGAACATTCTGTGATTCTGTGAAACCATGGTGCTGCTTCCTCTTGCTCTCCAGCCTTGGTATGAGCTCGCATCTCCTGTACCTTTTCCTGGCCAGTCCTGGAAGCCAGGAGGTGGAAAAGGGAAAATACATTGATGCTTGCCTGTCTGCTAAAGAGTGGGCAACACTTGCTTCAATGCAGGCGCAGTAAATACCATCCATTTGTTAATCTGTCTTGCATATTTTTCCAAATCTGCTGTCTTGAGATCGCTTAGTCCCTTACCTGGCTAAGTACTGTATGTGGGTGCCTCTTTGCACCCCGTCTCCAAGACCCCACTACTCGTTGAGGTGCTTTGCTGATGTGATGAGCTTGAGGTGAAAGCCACCATCACTGATGGCTTCCCCAGCCTGAGCCCCATATTCCTTTGTCACCGACCTGCAGGCAGCGTCACACTTTCTGGCTGCAGAATCGTGGGATAACTGTGGCTGGGGGGGACCTTGGGAGACCATCTCATCCAACCCATGCTTGAAGTTCAGAGTTCAGCTAGATGGCTTGCGGCCTTTCCCAGCCGAGCCCTCAGCTGGGTGGCCCGCATGCCTACCTGGGACCTGGGAGGCTCAATTCAAGGCTGTGTCGTGACCTCCTTCCCCTTCCTGGGGAAACGCTGAGCTTTCAGTCCGCAGGTTGGTTTCCCACCGTGGGAAATGGAAAGGCCACAGTGGGTGACAATGATTTGCAGAGGGAGGCACGCACCCAGGGATGGCAGCCGAGCCTTGCCCAGCACAAAGCACCCACCTTTCCCAAGTGACGAGGTGCTGCTTTCATCCCCGAATGGGTCCAGCCCCACTGGACACTCACTGGTGGGAGCAGCCAGGCTGAGCAGGTCAGGTGGATGCTGACCTCAGGGGCTCTCTAAGCATAAAGTTGGGGCTTGAGGGGTTACCCTTTCGTTAGTAACATTGTAGAGGAATGAAAAAGCTGTGGCTTTTTAGCCCATTTTCTTCAGCCCATAAAGTGGCGGCAGTGAGGTCAAAACT